TCCCTTCCGCTGCTCCTCCAGCGGTGTCCTTCTTGCCACTGCCATCACACGAATGGGCTGGATGACTCCCGAAACAAATCTGACACACGTGAAGCCGGCCGCAATTGAAGCGGCAGCGTTCTCGGGGATTGTTCCAACGCCAGCAGATCTGACGGCCGTCAGGTGTCTTGTCGTGCATCTGCCTGCCCCCTTTCTTCCCACGGCCTTTCCCCCCTTTCTTGCCCTTGCCTTTTCCTTTGAAGGACTCACCATAGCGTTCTGCCCATGGGGGATTCCTGCCAGGACTGCGGGAACGTGCAAAGTCCCCGCCACTGCTGTAGGACCTGCTCGAGGTAGTGTGCACCTGCACCTGAGAATAGACATTGGGCGTGAGGAAGTAACGTTCCTTGATCGTGGTATCTGACATGGAATCTTTCAGTGCAAGCTTCATCGAACTGCCCTCGTTCATGAGCTTGACCATTTGACGACGAATCTGGAAGTCGTAGGCGAGGACCAGCTCGAAGTCGGGCGCAGCGATGACATCTCCATCCTTGTTCCGAGCTTTCAATCCAAGCACATGGTCGCCCAACATGAGATCAAGATACTTGAGGAAATCTTGTGGTGCCAGGTCCTTCAAATTTGCCTTCTGTGGGTACTTCAACTAAGCCAGGAGATAGGTGTGTGCGACCACTCCCATGCGTTTGCGAAACTCTTCTGGATTTCGTGGTTTTGCACACTCCCCATAGCCCTTCTTCACCTTCAACGTGCCGGTACCCTTCTCTATCATTGCACCCAGCACGTCTGCCTCTGCATCCTCCCTGCTTAAGAACTGGACCAAGCTCATTCATGTTCTTCATCTCCCCCTGTTCGATCTGATCGTAGACCTGTTCGAGGGTCGATGCAGCAGGTGGGTTCCTATCTTCGAGCTTGATACCGTGAATCTTCTGAAACTTCACCAGTAAGTCCTGGATCTCGATCTTGTTGAGCGCTCGAGGAAGGCTCGCTACCCGCGCTTCTGCCTCCGCCTTGTTGCGGACCGGCACCCGGGTTGATGCAGACTCCCAGGTGTCTACCAAGGATGCAATCTCAACCACATCCCTGGCTTCATCCAAACCGAGCGCGTCCACGCAGAAAGCGCGCATCTTGCCTCGGTCATCTGCGATGGTGCTCATCCGACTCATGCTACGCACCTTCGCCACTGCCAGTTTGGCCTGCACTGTCTCCTCGACTTCTTTAACCTGAAGCAAACCACGCAAGTCCGCGTCGAGGAAAGCTATGGCATTCCGCCGGCGCTCCTCCGCGTCATGGCCTATATTGCCCATCTTCGCACGCGCCGGTCAGCACGCACTGCCTGGGGCCAAGCGCTTCAGATCTTCCACCTGTGGTTGGGCACGGCACGTGAACAAATCCAAGCAAGTCAACTCAAAATCAACTGCAAATCAGGCACCTACCACAATCTAAATGCAAGTGCAAAATCACAAGCAAAATAAAGCCATGAAAAATAAACGACCGACGCCCCCCCCCCCTTCTCTCCTCTGTCCTTAACCTCCTTAGTCTAGCCTCGACCTATCTAGTGCGACATCTCACCTGTCAGCTCAACAAAACCTATGCCGCACCCGTCCCCCGTGCAGTATTTTCTCTTCCAACGAACACCTGGCTTTACAGGAGGTCGTGCTCGATGCTCTGGCCATCGGAGTCCGTCATTTCGGACGAAGACACCTCACCGGAGTTATCGCTCTCCGGCGAGTTCGATGCCGCCGCAATACCTCTGCGGAAGCATTGCTTGCACGCCTTGTGATATAAGGCCTTGTCAAGCACCTCTTCGCCCAACACCTCAAAGCTCTTGTAGTGGACACCTGGCTAGCATTCATCTATCTTGTGACGCGTTTTAGTTTTAGACCTGCCAACCACTGAAACTATGTACATTCCAGCTACCTTCTCGAGCGATGTGACTCCCGGCAGTTGCTCGTCGTTTTCCAAGCCGTCCGATGACAGCTCCGCCAGCGATGCCATGGCATTCGTCTCTTCTGGCTCCTCTTTCACATCGCCTTCCTCGACGAAGATTACAGGTCCAATCGTCGTCCAGCTGGGCCTCGCACACTCTGTGGCCTGGTCGCCAAGCGGCAGGAAGGACATCAGCCTCAGCATCTGATCATCGCACTCTGCCTGGGAGAAGCCGGAGTTCTTCATCTTCTGCTCCGCAAGCTAAATCACAATGACTTCGTCAAAGGGATCCATATTTCCCAGGTTCTTCTTTATGAAGTGTGCGATCACCGCCTGGCATCTGGTGACATTGGCTTTGAGATTCCGTTCATAGCTTTCATCAACTGATGGACGCCAGCGGCCGATCATTCTTCTAACGTCCTCTGGCACTCTGGCAGCCTACGCCCAAGTGCGCATTGTTGCGCGTTCGCTATGTTCTGTCCACAGCAGGCCTACACCGGGAACCGGAGGCTATCGGATAGTCCACCACACGCCTTGCAAAGCTTGCCAAGTCTCTCGACGGCCATGGCAACATAAAATCTCTGGTCAAAAGACCAGATTCAACGCCCATGCTATTCCAGAGGCGCCATCCAACCATCAGCCACTCTTTCTCGCTCAGCCATACCTCTCTGTTGATATAGAAGGGGAGCAAAATGATCCTCTTGCCAGGTCCAAAGGTTTTGGAGCGATGAATCACTCCTTTGAGGCCCCACTTCTTAAGCTCCATTGTTCTGTTTGGCGTCCCCTTGGTGTCGTCGAAGCACATGCCAGTCCATAGCTTCACCAGCCTGAACCAGGCATAAATCCTGGAGTAATTGGACGCCTCCTCATTGCAAACCTGCCTCTCCCAGCTCATCACCATTGCCACTGGAATGAGCAGTGCCTGTTTCGATGGAGCGATTTCCACCGATTGCAGCCTCTGTCCAGCCTCTTCCAATGCGTTCTTAACTGCCGGCGCACGGCATATCTGCTCACCCTCAGGAACTTCGCCAGCATGTTCCAAGAACATTAAAGTCTTGAAGACCGACTCGGAAAAGGACCGTGCACAGGGCTCTTGCACCATAGCCTCCAAGAACTCTACAAACTGCTCCGGATGGCGTGGCCATGCCACCCCGTAAGTGGCCTCAAACCACCTAGCCGCTTTCTACCACGTTTTCACATGCTAGCGGAGCGTGTTTGGTCCACGCCCCTTCGCCACCCGGAGCAACATAGCATCTTCGCTAGAGCGTACAGCAACCGGCAGTTTAGCCGCTTTGACGATTTCACGAATTTCTTTCGTCCACCGATCTCGTTCATTTCTTTCTGCCAGCTCTAGAAGTGCTAGGTCATCTCCAGCCAAATGAAGCTTCTTTCCTAAGCGAGTGGGCCACCTCGCTACCTTAGCAGTGCCTACCAATACAATTCGAAGCAACGACATCGTCGACGACCAGCTCATCGAAGGTCCGCCTTCTAACACGGCGTTAATGTGCAATATAAGCATCTAGCAATTCCTGTCCTCCTCTAATCGCATCGATCTTGTGTCTCGTCTCGGCACGGGTCTGTGACCTCCTAGCCACTTCTTTCAAATCGGCTATGCTAATATCAAAGCTTTCATTCTTCTCCTAGATGTTCCATCTAACCGCTTCAAGCGTCTCTTGTGAGCAACCGGTTAATGTAGCCAGCCTCATCATATTCCAGCCCGCCTGCTCTAGCGCTTTCGTCTGCTGCTTGGTCAATCCAGCTAGATTGCAGACTAGGGCTGTGTCAGACTAGGGCTGTGTCATCCAGGAGGTCCATCGCGGCGTGACCCCCCCTACCGAACGAAGAAAGGGGTCCTTTGTGCCGAGACTCAGCCGTCGATACGTGACACTCCGCGATCTTTAATCGACTAGTCATCATATATCATATATATATATATATCATATAACCCTGGAAGCCTTATATCCCAGCAAGTTCTATCGATCCATCCCTTCTGTTGTGATTAATTCGGCACTCGTAACTCTCAATCTCGACCGAAGTCAGTGGTTAAATGATGAACAAGGAGTGCACGCTGTTCAAGGTGAAGAGCAAGGTCGCCGAATAAGACATGGGATAATGCATCGGTAGACACGATCCAGAACTAGAAGGCTTGGGCCAGGAACACATCGGCACACGATGCACAAAGATCTACATCGCGGATCTTCTCACTTTCTGCGGAATACTCAAAGCTGCTTCTAGGAAGTGCGCCAGTATCCGTGCTTGTCTTCGGACATTGGATTATAAAACACTTTTCATGTTTCCAGCAGTGACAAGTTACGAATGAACGGATTTGGGAGGACAACACTTTCTTTCATGGGTTATAACGGTTATATTGGATGCTAGAGCGCTAGGACATACCAGGACTCTCAGCCAAAGCCTTGATTTCTGACCTGAATTTGCCTTCCATTACATGTCGATACTCTTCTCCGTATCTTTGTGGCTTGCGGCTTCCAAGCAATGAAATCTAGACATGACTATGTTCACAATACAACTTCATATTTAATCTTTCATGTATATAGTTATATTTATGGTTTATTGTTTAATGTCTTTGTGTGCAATGCCATTGTCCATCACCTTGGAAATTGACGCATGGAGATGTGTTGAAAGTCTACCTTGCTTGGTGCCAAGCTGTTCCGCTGCAGTGTGAGCGTTGGGAAAAAGAGCGGATCCGGCTGGATAGCCTTTACGTGCTCCTGGACATCCAAGCAATGCGTGATTATCAAACCGCTCTGCGATTCTTTTTGTGTTGAAGTGGGTTGAAGCATTGAAGCATTCACTCACCTGACCGTTCATGTCCAAGAGCAGAAGTCGAACATATGAAGCTCGCTTTTCCCCACTCCTTCACGCAATCATACTCGCTGTCGCAATGCCTTTGCTGCCTACTGTTTTTTGGCTAAGCCGAGGGCGGCTTTTTCTCATGCTGACCCAGGAGTAGAACATCACCTTGAAAATCAAGAAGCAGTTTCAAGGCCATCCATACCTTCGACAATCATTGGATGCCAAGTGGCTGAGACTGCGGACTGCCTTCCCATTCAATTCCATCAGGAAACAATGCCTGAAGAATAGACAGCACATGCAGAAAAAAAAGGAAAAAAACCTCCGCAGGCTGGTAACGATCAGCCACTCCTTAACCACCAGCAGACTGAGGCAACGACGGGTGCAAGGATTGTGTCTCTGCCGGTGAACCCGCCAACAGGCTCTGCACGAAGACTCCACCCGCCCGGGGTGCCACACTCTCGCCGCAACGCTCCAAGATGCACCTCCGCTGCTTTCTTCGATTAAAAAAAGAACACTGCAAAGACATCTAATCTTTTCAAAGGAAAGTAGTGGCAAATCTGAAATCAATGCACCTTTAGATGCTTCAACAGGGAAAGCAAGAAAATCCAAAACAATAATGCACACATTCAAAGGCTTTGAGAGCAAGAAGCTAACCACTCAATCGGACGAGCCTGGGTGTTCGGCGAAGCACCAAGCCAGCCCAAATGACCAACTCAGCATCATCCTTTCGCAGGAGACAAGTCTCAGAGGTCTCGTCTTGTTTCAAGCAGGAAAAGAAGAGACGAAGAAAAGACATGAATAGAAAAGACTTGTCTAAAGTCTAAAGGTCCAAAAGGGAAAGAAGAAAAGCAAAGGAAGAAGCAGTACAGTGGAAAGTCTTCTTTCGATTGTCTTGTTCACTCTTGCACACTGTCGGTGGCAGTCTCAGTTGCCTGTACCGCTCCATTCTTCAATCAGCGCATTCAAGGGGTCAAAGCCCAAATCCAAATTTGGGACTCTGGCTATGTGGACTCGAGCAGCTGGAAGCCACTGCTGTACATGTTTCAGACTCCACTCGACGCAAGCTGAAGGCATCAAGCCCAAAAGAATCTGATCAAGTCGAGTGTGAGACATCAACATCGTGGGTCTCGTGGATTCAAACACCTGCTGGTAAGATACATTGATGCTTCTCAATGCATCTGGTCGGATCATCTGGGTCTACCTTGCAAGCCTCGCATGTTTCAGTATGGGCCTGTCTAAGGAGCTATGAAAGACTATGAATTCACTGCAAGTTCATTACAATGGCCTCCAACCTAGTAGCAATGGCCTCCAACCTACTAGCGATGACCTCCACCAAAATATCTGTTGCAGTTGGATGAAAAACTATGAATTCACTGCAAGTTCACCACAAGCTCATCCTCCTCATTCTCAAAGAATGCCAAGACACGATGCCGCGATCCCCACCTTTCACATAGCCTGAGCTGTCGACTGATCTTTCTCACCAAACCCTCGGCCCTCCAACTGTCTCACCTCCTGACCCTTTCAAGAAGCTACTAGGAGCAAAGAGCATCGCTACTAGGAGCAAGGATGCTACTGGGGGCTCCTGGCATCACTACTAGGAGCATTCTTACTACTAGACGCAAGAAGCTACTAGGAGCTTCCATTCCTGTTCTTCCCACAGCCGGTTGCTTTGAGCGCAGCTTGGTGGCCGTTGTTGCAGTCGGTCCCAGTCAAGACCTCGCGGTCCATGCAAGCACTTCCAGATAGGAGATTGCCGCGGCATTCTAAATAGCCTCAGGTTGGCCACTGTAGGCTGAGAGAGAACCACGCTAAACTCGACCTGAGGCGCTGGCACTTTGATTCAGCTTGGCATTCACCCTGGGAGTTTCCACATTGTTGGAACACACCAGGCCCCAGCGCTGTGCATCGGTGAAATGTGTTTGTACAGTATCCTCCTCAAAGCACCGCAATCTGCGGCAGATAGTTACTACTAGCAATGGCCTCCAGCCTGCCAGTGATGGTCTCCAACCTATTAGCGATGGCCTCCAACCTAGTAGCGATCCCTGCAACCTCCTAGCGATGGCCTCCGGTGGCCTCCAACCTAGTAGCTATGGCCTCCAACCTACTAGCGATGGCCTCCGCGATGGCCTCCAACCTACTAGCGATGGCCTCCAACCTAATAGCTAAGGCCTCCAACTCCAACCTACCAGCGATGGCCTCCAACCTAATTGTAATGGCCTCCTTCCTAATTAATAGAGACCAACCGAAAAGTTGTACCAAGTTGTAGCCAGAAGTCTTCACAGCAAGGCTATCCACCCTTCAGTCCTTTGCCACATGGATCGTCCGAGGTGCAGTTGTTTATAATCGTTCCTGGCTTATAAAAACAAAGTACAGAACATGCCCTCTGGCCTTTCTGAGCTGCGACATTCCCAAGTGCTGCCACGATGCCAAAACACTTGGGCAGGGCAGTGTTGCTGTCCTGCTGGAGAAAGTAACACGTGCGAAAGCTCGGCCGCAGCACTAGCCGAAGGAGACCGCGAGTGTGCGTTTGGCAAGAAAGTGCGAGCTTCTGCTTCTACTGACGTTCTTTCGGGAATGGTAAAGCAGGAATTCTATATAAGGATAAGGTTTTCTTGCTTCTTCAGTGATGTTGCTGGGTGCATCAAGCTGTCAAAGACCCGAACGGATACATATCAACCCTTCAATGCTGGGCTCTCCAGCCATTGTGTTATTAAGCCAACAAAAGGAGTTCTGCTCGAAAACATGCGGGCACCTGGGCCGAAGCGGAGCTCACATCAACTGCCTTGGCTTGTGCTCAGTCTTCTCCATGTGTGAAGTCTTTCAGTGCACTGTTTGCCGCCCAGAAATGAGCCATCCCATGGCGATCCAGGGATCCACGTGCGATCAACTTGGGATGCAGCCGGTGCCACGAAATATCGGTCAGGTGGTTCAGACCTGATTGATGGTGATCAACAGGTCTCGGGCAAATTGATCCAAAACCCGCAGACACTGCTCCTTTCTAGTCTTGGACGTCGTCCTCCATTGGAAAACACTGCAAATGCTTTGAAGACGAAACATGTTCTGCTGATTTGCTCGCTTCAGCAAACCGAAATCAACCTGGCCCAGTCTGCATCTCAGCCACTCTGCTAGAGCTGCTTCTGGTGGCACGCCTGAAGGCATCGAACATGAGCAAGCCGAACCTTTGTTGACAAACAATGTTGCCGGGCATCAAGTGTCTTTCCACTACTGAGCCAATGTGCCTTCAAATTGTTCGACTTTGCCAGATGCAGCCACACCATACTGCTTTGCAAGCGCACTGCTTACACAGAGGACGACCTGCAAAAAAAACAAGATCACTAAACATATACCGTATAATCACCAAGAGCCAGATTCAATCAAAGCAATCTCAGGCTGCAGTCAAACTACGAGCTTTTGCACAGAGAACATCTGCTGAGAAGTGCCAACTCCCAGCCATTGGCTTGAGTTGAAATGGCTGGAATGAGTGCAACTCCGAAGGGTTCCACAATATACCTTACCATAGTTTGGCGGTACCGTCCACAACCTACCAAAAATAATAAAAAACTATTTTGAGGTGGGTACACCCACCTATTCTTTGTTAATTCTGAAAGTCCGGACTGCCTAAAATAATATTCATCGATTTGGGATCTTGCTAACATCACACAACGTGGAACATGGGGGTGGGTGGTGTCCCTGGGGATTTACCGGGAGATTCATAGAAAGCGTCAAGCACAAGTCATTCCACAGTCAACCACTAGCAAAATAATTTGCCACCAAAGAATTGACTCCACAAGTAACGCATACGCATATCCACACGATTCCTCAAATCAATAAAAAGAAATTGGAAGTCCAAAGGTACTCAACCACCTGTGAAATAAATTGCAAAAGCTTTCTAGCCTCCACTTCTGTGTCGACCTGTGTCTTTTCTGCCTCAGAACAGTAATATTCTGCAAGCCCAAATGTACTCAACCTCCTTTGAAGTAATTTGAAAAGTATTTCTGACTTTCAATTCTGCGTTCTCCTTTTCCTTTTGACTTCCAAAACGGCTTGGTGCTGGAGTTCAATGTCAAAACAGTTTGGCACCCAAGTCTTGACTCCAAACCAGTTTGCTGCTGGAGTTTCAAAGTCCAAAGCGGATTGACACCCAAGTTTTGACTTCCAAAACGGTTTGACTTCCAAAACGGATTGGTGCTGGAGTTGAATGTCAAAATGCTTTCGCACCAGGGTCTGGACTCCAAACCAGTTTGCTGCTGGAGGTTCAAAATCAAAAACGGTTTGACACCCAAGTTGTTTGCCTTCCAAAACGGTTTGGTGATGGAGTTGAAACATGTCTAAACCCGTATTCTTGATTTAAAAACAAAGGTTCGGTGCTATGGTTCAAAAGTCAAAACAGTTTGTCACCAAAGATTTGACTCCACAAAGGTTCGTATCCTGCTTTGACACCCGAGTTGACTCCAAAACAGTTTGCGGGAGTTCAACAGCAAAAAGTGAAACACTAGCTACTTTGAGGTTTGCTATGTTGACCCTAATTCCCCTGCCTGATTCCATGCTTGTGTATTCCTACACTAGCTTCATGGCTGATGACCTAGGAACACCTTTTAACTTTTGACAAAAAAACAAGTGCTTTTGAGTTTCCAGTGCGAACTAATGAGTGGGACGACTTGCATCGCGCAGCCATTGTTTTGTAGTGGAAACTCAAAATATTTAGAAATAATTTGAGGTGGGTCCTCGTATACTCAAAATTATTTCTAAGGTGGTTGACTGCTTGCTCCACCACCCAAATAAAATCTGACACATCTGGCACAAGCAAAAAATGCTCCCTTCTTCAAATCTGAGACTCTAAAGTATTTTGGAATAGTTTCTTGGTTATTTGGGGTCCTTTGACTCTCGACGAGAATATCATTCTGACCCCCCCACCACTCCCTGTTTGAAATGATATCAATGTGTAAAGTTTTTTGAACACATTATTTCAGTACAGTACTGCCACCCCACCTATGAAATAACTTCTTGAGGCAAGGGATAGGTTCCACAACTCTGCAGAACCACGGCCCACGGCAGCTGTGACTCATAAGTTCTCATCCGCATGTCTTCACAAATACCACTTGTAAAAAGACAGTCGGCAGCACACAACTCATCTCCTCCGAGCCCAGGATGCCAGGGGTGACGTATTCCACCACCTCACTGCACAACATTGAGATAGCTGCAATCTCAAAAGAAGGAAGGCGAAATACCAATTGGGCTAGGAACTTTTGCCGCTTACTGGGGGCGGTTGAGGAGTTTTGAGTGTTCCATCCAGTTTTCCCACAGCCGCGGAGAGAAAAAGACCCGAAGCCTCTTGCTGATCGCGGAGGACATGGATGGCTACCTGCTTGACAACTCACCAGGTCGCTTGGCTGTAGATTTCCAATTGATCGTTTCAATTGAAGGCACTGAAGGCTGAAAGCTGGTGTCCAATTTGTGAACAGCCCCGTTCGTAGCGTCCTTGCTCCTAGTAGTAAGGCCAGGAGCCCCTAGTAGCGTCCGATCGCTCCTAGTAGCGATGCCCTTTGCTCCTAGTAGCGTCCTTGCTCCTAATAGTAAGGCCAGGAGAATCCAAAGATGTGCATCTTGAAGAAGGGTTTCACCACGTTTCGGCCGGCAAACTTTGTGGCCAAGCCCATCCTCGGAAGCCTCTCGCTTGCGCTTGCTCGGCACCAAAGCCTCCTCTCGGATCTGAGCAGCTTCCAGTTCGCTTTGCCAGTTTTCGGTGGTGTTCGATGTGGTTTTGTTGTTTCTCTCCTCCACATCGAGGGCGCAAGCAATGGTTTTTCCAGCTACACTCAGGAGGACCTCAGAACAGGATCTCCACAAGACGGCGCATGGTATCGAAACTCGGAATGAAAACTTTCCTGAAACCTTTCATCACACCTGGTGAAAGCTACTAGTAACAAGAAGCTACTAGTAACAAGTGCATCGCTTCTAGTAACAA